ATATATCTTATTAACCAAGCGCGAGGGCCGTACTGGGAGAATATCGGCCCGAGGTCTTGACAGTACGGACCGAGCGCAGCGAGGTCCGTACAAAAAAGACCGAGGGCCGATATTCTTCCAGTACGGTCCCGAGCAAGCTTGGTTAATAAGAGATTTATTATACGACTGAAGTTCAAAGGGACACAAGTGCGGTATCATTCGGGACCATTCGGGACAGTGCCCGGTCCAATACTGAGAGAATATTGACTGGCAATAGAGCATTTTGATTGGTTGATTTTAGTTATTGGTCCTCTGACTCCCAGAGTCGTGTAATAATTATTCTAATCTTTATAAAATTAATATAATGTTGGTATTGATGTTCTTATTGCAGCTTGGATGCAGCAGAGAGTACGTCCTTCAGTGTTGAATATGGAGATTTAATTGTGTTGGCTACTGATGGCTTGTTTGATAATGTATCAACAGAACAAATACTTGAGGAATTGTCACAACTTGAGGTGTGTATATAGTATGGTGTTCAAGATAAGTGTACAATAGAAGAAGCTTGTAAGAAAGCACAATTTTATGACTCAAGTTTGCCATATCCTTCATAATGGTAATTTAATTGGTGTTATCAACCCATTGACACTTACGTGTAGCACGTGTCCACGAAAAGTTAAAATTTTGGAGAAACCAAGAAGGCAAACACAATGCGCAGTAAATTTTTAAAAATCATCTTTTCCAAAAAACAAGCTCCAGTGAAAGAAGACTACTTAAAGAACTTATTTCCGGTAAAAAAGGCGATTGGTACATATTACGTTTTAACTCAAAAAACAAGATGAAAGATAAAAATCGCTAAATATTTTCCATGTGTGAAAATGGGCATGTGGATCATATTTCAAAAGGGAATATGCAAATTTTCCGTGAGTGAAGAGATCTTGAGTTCCATGGAATCTATCAATTGGAAGCAAGACTAAAATGGCCAAGAAGTATTTGGGGACGTCAGATTTATTCAAAACAGTTTTTTATTTGCTGTTGTAAGCGAAAAACGTACGAATTTCTTACGAGTACAAAGCCCACGCGGTAAAATTCATCATGCTTAGATCGTTGTTTACTTGCCTTCATGGCCAGAAATTGCACAGCGTTATGTTGAAAATTCCGAAAAAACTTCGATTTGAGGCAAAATCTTCTTTTAAACAATACTTTTTAAACACATTGTTACTCGAACATAATATTTACCGGACCATCGAATCGTCAAATTGTCGCTAGGCCCTGCTTGAAGTCCGAAAGTTCGGTTTTCACTTAACGTCCATAATTCGCTCGAGACTCGTGGTGTCGTTGACTCAAGAGGTTATTCTGTCACCTTTAAGACCTTGATATCCATTCTTTTCCAAGCA